AAAGTTCTAAAAGGACTACTACATCAGAACTTTGGCTCTGTGTAGACTATATAGTCCCTGCTGATCAACTTATAGTTGGAAATAGCGGAATGACACTGATACYGATACTGATACGCAATTAATTCCAGTTCCAGTCCAGTCGAACTAATTGCTTTGACTTCAAATCCCATCCAGTTCTCATTGTCGGCTTTGAAATATTACTTCTAACTTGAAGGATATATTCGCGTTATCAGAATAGTGAACTCATAACCGTGATTTACAGTATGCGGTTTTTTAACACTTTTTCTTTCAAAAACCTTTTCGTATTGAACCGTTTTTAGGTACTGAAATCAGAAGGCCGACAACTGGCCGAGGCAATGAAGTGTCCATTCTACGAGTGTTCGGCTTCCGATGGATTCCGACAAATAACCGACGCTTTTAATGATCTTTACCGCGAAGGACTGCGGAAAAAGAAGGAACGAAAGTACTCCCTATCACCGCGACCACTTCGAAGTGCAATGGGGAAATTATTTCGACGTAACAGTTCAAAAGGAAACTTGCTGACCGCGGGACCTTACATTTAGGGATTACTTAGAAAATATGGCGGCCATCTTGGACCGCGAGGCATTATGGGGGGTCAAGGGAGGCAACACAAAACAAAGATAGTGGGTAGAGTTTCGTTTGTAAAGGTGATAGATGAGTCGTCTTTGGTTGTAATAATCACAGGCGATATAATAAAAGATATTATTTAATTTTAGATAATAAATAATTGATTTGGTTTGCCATGATTGGTTGGCCTCGTCGTGTTCTTTTCATCAGCTGTTGGTTTGTTTGACGTCTTCGTTTCACGCTTCTTTGTAATTCTTGTATACGTTTTTCTTTCTGCTCCTCTCTTTCCTTAAATGGAGAGAATACAGGTATTTCAAAAAAGGGTTGTGAAAGTTTCGTTCCACACCAAGCCTGAATAGACCTCCTCGGCTCTGGAGCGCTCTAGCACAATGTTGTCCCATTTCAGACCACGTGTCATTCCCTTGAGAATAATATACTTTGTTTGAGCTGTATCCATATTCATGTGTCTTCTCATGTGCAACGGAGCGCAAACCTTAAGCAAAGAAATGATACTCTAGGGAATGACAAGTGGTCTGAAATGGGACAATATTACGTCAGAGCTGAGGAGGTCTATTATCAGCCAAAATCGGCAAAAGGTCACAACAGTATGGAATTTTGACTTAAACCATCAACCAGCCAAGCTCTTCTCACCTTTTTGTTTTGTTCAATGTCAAACTTTTTTCTCTTGTACTCCTTTTCTGCAGTAGAAAATCTTGTCTGTGTGTTTACTCGTCTAGAGGCACAGAAAACATGTAGTGGTATGAATAGAACTCATTATTCAAAACAAATTTAACTTCAAGCTAGGATTGAAGGTTGATGAGATGAGTAGTAGCACACTCGCCTCTCATTGAAGGGATCTTGGGCTCTCTGGTTGCCCTCCCTCTTTAAAACATAACATGCTTAATTTCAATTAAACCTATGGGTTATACATGCCCTGACTTAAATCAGCCCAGAAGTTGTTTCAGGGTTTGATCTGCGAGTTAGTCATGCCCTGACTTAGATCAGCCCAGAGGTTGTTTCAGGGTTTGATCTGTGAGTTAGCTGTGTCCTGACTTAGATCAGYCCAGAGGCTGTATCCGAGTTGGATCTGTGAGTTAGCCATACCCTGACTTAGATCAGCCCTGAGGTTGTTTCAGGGTTCGATCCGTGAGTTAGCCATGCCCTGACTTAGATCAGCCCAGAGGTTGTTTCAGGGTTCGATCTGTGAGTTAGCCATGCCCTGACTTAGATCAGCCCATAGGTTGTTTCAGGGTTCCATCTGTGAGTCAGCCATGCCCTGACTTAGATCAGCCCAGAGGTTGTTTCAGGGTTTAATCTATGAGTTAGCCATGCCCTGACTTAGATCAGCCCTGAGGTTGTTTCAGGGTTCAATCTGTGAGTTAGCCATGCCCTGACTGAGATCAGCCCAGAGGCTGTATCCGAGTTGGATCTGTGAGTTAGCCATGCCCTGACTTAGATCAGCCCAGAGGCTGTATCCGAGTTGGATCTGTGA